CCAGCTTCAGGAGGAAGCAAAAGGAGATAGGTTCTCTGCCTTGCCGGGGTTGCAAAAATGAGGTTCTTGTAAAGGCTTCTCCGCCTAGCTATGGAGGCTAAAGGAGAGTCACATTTGTAGTGCAATACTCGGAGGGCGCCTCCGGGGAGTGGACGTAGGTCGAGTTGACCGAACAACTATAAATTTCTGTGTTCTTGTTTTCTTTCTTTCGCATTTTAATTTCCGCATTTATTTTTCTCATGGTGTGATTTTGGTTTATGTGATTTTTGTTCTTTGTGAAAAGAATTTTTTAAAAATACCAATTCACCCGCCCCCTCTTGGTTAGCTTGGGACTAAGTTCATAGGGCTTAACATCCCTAACGATCTTTCATCAGATAGGTCTTACATCCTTGGTGGATTCTCCCAACCTCTTTCCCAAAGGTTAACATCTTTCCCAAAGGTTAACATCATCAAGCAAAAGCTCTGACATAAAACCTCGGATAGGTCTTACATCCTTATTAGTTTCTCTCTACCTCTTCCATACATGTTAACATTATTGAGCAAAGGCTCTGACATACAACCTCGGATATGTCTTACATCCTTTGTGGATTCTATCGACCTCTTCCACATAGGTTAACGTCATCAAGCAAAGGCTTTGACATGCAACCTCGGATAAGTCATGTCCTTGGTGAATTCTCTCAATCTCTTCCACACAAGTTAACGTTATCGAGTAGTGCTCTGACATACAACCTCATATAGGTCTTACATCCTAAGTGGATTCTCTTAACCTCTTCTACACAGGTTAACGTTATCGAGCAAAGGCTCTGACATACAACCTCGGATAGGTCTTACATCCTTGGTGGATTATCTCGGCCTCTTCCATACAGGTTAACGACATCGAGTAGGTCTCTAGCATACAATCTCAGATAGTTCTTACATCCTTACTGGATTATTTTTACCTCTTCCATATAGGTTAATGTCATTGAGCAAAGGTTCTTACATACAACATCAGATAGGTCTCACATCCTAAGTGGATTCTCTCGACCTCTTCCATATAGGTTAACGTTATCAAGCAAAGTGCTCTAACATACAACCTCAGATAGGTGATACATCCTCAATGGATTATCAGAACCTCTTCTATAAAGGTCAACATCATCATGTAATGTTCTAAGTGAACATTCTCTTTAAAAAAAAATTCATGAAAGTAAGTGATTGATAAAATCATCACTCATATAAAGACCTTAACAGTCTAATAGCGCCTCAAAAAATATAGAGGGCAATATATCAAAATATATCTCAAAGATGCAATAACTTCTCTTCCTCAAAGGGACAAGTTCTCAACTTCATATATAGTATCAATAAAGTTATATAAATTCAGATTCATATGTATATTTATTTTCACTGGAAGTTGAAATTAAAAAGTATATTGACATCTATTGTACAAGCTACTATCATCAAGCAACAACAACTTTTAAGCATTCAAATATCATTGGTGGATTCAAATGACTTCTTCTCTACTGCACACAAGCATCTCTTATAACTTTTCTTCAAAGAAAGATTACAATTGGGTCTTCATTAGGCCTCAATTCAGTTGACACTATATGTGTGTCGTCAGACAGCTAACATAGCACACTGCTTTGGCCCCTTGACTCAGTGATATCTGTTGTCGGTACACTTCGGTATGGATATATATTGCATTAGCAATATGCCACTGGACTCCTCCCATCATCGGCCATTCATCTGATATCTGCCAGCGATCCTTCACTTCATATCTCAGGCATCATTGCTTCTCGCTCTATTGCTACTTACAGCAAACCCTCAAACTTTCTCCTTCAGCTCTATACTAGTCGTTGACTGTCAACAAACTTCAACTCGATTGTCCAGCGCCAATAGAATTTCGCTCAAATGGCATTAAAATTTGCCCTATCTCCTCACCCTTCTAGTTCTCCTCCGAAGTACTATTACCGTCAGATCTTTTCAAATCACCCTCACATGTAAGCAGCATGTGATCTTCTTATGTCAAGGATCGTCTTTTAAGAATATAGCTTCTCATCACAATTCCTTCTACACAAGAGAGCAGCACTAAAGCTTGATAGGGGAATGCCGCCTATCTATGATAGTGGAATGCCTCTAATGTAAGAAGAAAAATGCAAGAGAAGAATAAGGAGGAAACAATCTCATTTTACACAAAAGAGGGGCACTAAAGCTTGATAGTGTAATGCCTCCTATCTACGACAGTGAAATGCCTCCAATGTAAGAAGAAGACCTTAAGAAAAGAAAATGAACAACTACAAAAATTCTAACTTCTACACATAGAGAGGGCCCCTGAATTTTAGTAGGGGATGCCACCTACAATAAATAGGGGAATGCCTCAACTGTAAGAAAGTTAAAAAACTGGAGGAGAAAGAAAAGAAATGACTTCAAAAAGTCTAACTTCTGTACAAGAGGAGGGGCGTCGATTTAAGTAGGGAAAGTTACCTAGTTAAAATAAGCAGAATGCCTCGACCGTAAAAAGTTAGCAAGAAGAGAAGACAATAGAAGAAAGAAAAATCTTCTTTTACACTAAAGAGGAGCGCTAAATTTAAGTAGGGAAAGTCACCTACGAAAAGAAGGGGAAGCCCTCTGAAGCAAGAAGAAAAACGAGGGAGAAAGAAAAAAAAAGAAAAGAAATTTTCAACTTCTATACAATAGGAAGGGCGCTGAATTAAGTAGGGAAAATCACCTACTCAAAAATAGCGGAATGCCTTGGCTAGAAGAAAGTCAGAGGAAGAAAAGAAGAAGGTGCAAGTTTCCCCCTAGCCTAGAGAGGGTATTTATAGCATTTTTTTGGGAAGAAAAGAACATTATAGAATATTTTTGAATTTTCCCAAATTCTCCAAATTTTTCTAAATTTTTTCAGAATTTTTTAAAACTTTTTGGAATTTTTCGAATTTTTTGAGAATTTTTTAATTATAAAAGCTTGTTGTCCCGACAAAAAAAAAAATCATATAACTGCTGCCAAACAGCGCGCCCAAGAGGTGAACGCCTGTTCGCACGACAGCTCGTCGGCGACGGCGGCAACCAGCCAGTTTGGCCATCTAAACTTATGCAGGCCCTATTTTTGGCCAGAACGGTCCAATTCTTACATTTTTTGGTCCCTAGACACATTTATCGATGTTCCGGACTCAATTTTGACACTTTTGGAGCTCAATGGGCCTCTATGATCAAGTTTGAGAAAATTTTTAATTTTCGGAACACAATTTTTTGTGATTCAGCCAATGCAAAATTTTGACGCATATATTTTCAGACTTCTGGAGCTTCGACGTCTAAAAATAGGGAGCAACTGATATATCCTAGAAAAATTATCTTGATCGAGCACGAATCTCAAGGCAAAAATCAAGTTGGAGACTTCAAAAAATTAATTTTGGGATCACTGAACTCCGATTTTAGCAAACTTACAATCGAACTAATCGTCTAGGAAATACGAACCCAACAACACTAAATTTGACTCAATTCGAGTCCAAATATGTTTGAATCAAAGGCTCAAAGCACATTTGGAAGATTTAATCCATAATTTGGATTACCAAACGGCCTCCAAACATGACATGCTTATAGTCGAATTGAGCGGCTCGATGAGACGAATCTAACGAGCCCAAGATCGTCGAATTCCAATATCATTAAGACCTTCAAATGTCTGATGAATAGTCAACGAACAAAGGATTTAATATTGGTCGTCGATTCAAATCACTCCTGATTCACCCCTGATCTCTCACCTATTTACAAGCCATGCCACTTCAGAAATTTATAAATAGACCTCTCATTTCTCTTGAGAAGGGGAGAGGGGAGCCAAAGCAAGGAGGAGGGCCTAAGCAAGAAGAAGAAGAGAAGGATATAGGAGGGAAGAAACTCCTCCTCGACCATCGCCAAAATTCTGCCGGACTTCCAAGTGACGTCGGAATTCCGCCGACTTCCGCCATATTTCTAAGTGATGCCGGAATTATGCCCGAACTCCAAGTAATGCTGGAGTTTCACCTAAATTCCAAGTAACATCGGAGTTCTACCCGAATACCATCTAACGCACGCCGGAGTTCTCCTCGGCCACCAACTTACGTCGGACTTCTAACTATTGTCAGACTTCCACCAGACATCTATCTGATGTTGGATTTCTATCCATTTATGGACTTCTACCAAACACCATCTTTCTGATCTGCGTCATCAGACAACAGTCCTTCCGACTTACGTCGCCCGCCGACTACAATCCTTCCGACCTCTGTCGCTCGCCAACTATAGTCTTTCTAACTTACGTCGTCCACCGATTACAGTCTTTCAGACCAAACAAACACATCAATAATAATGCTATATATTCTCACCATGTAATGTACTCTATAAGATGTACATCAAGCTAAGGCCTTCCCCCGAGGAAGGGCCTCATTTGTAATCAACTACAATACTAGTGGATTCATTTAAAATGGGCTAGGCCCCATGGTATTTTCCCTTTTTAGGGGTTTTCCACTTAAAAATCTTGTTGTGTCTAGTGGATGACACTCCCTCTCTTTAATCTGATTGCGTGCCGGATTTTCGTACAATGCTAAGACATTAAACTTTATATTTCTCTACCGCCGCGAATACTCCAAGACGCAACAATTCTAATGTTTGAGAAGATCTAATTTTTTTTTTCATCATCTGGGATGGTCTATCCAACATCTTCACCCCAATCAACATGAGATTCTTTCGAAGGTCTTTGATATTTCTAGTTGAGTCCTGCTAGTAGCCTAGTAGTGAGATAAAATAAAACAAATACCAACTTTAGGAGTCGTTCATTATTTTTTGATATGAAGGCATGTTAGGGCTTCACCCCAGAGGATCAACATCCCTTGTCCCTCTAACTATTTCTTTTAGATTTGGCCTTCATTGTCTTTATGATCAAAACTGCTTAAATTATTTCTTCAATCCAAAATATCACAGAACTCAAATGACAATCATTAACTTAAAAAAAGTAATGAAAATTACTTCAACGAGCTTATAATATCAATTTACTCCATTCCATACTCAATAGTTTATTAACAATATTGTTGCATATCTTGATAACTGAAATCAATGAAAAATACATTAATGAACTTGTAATATCAATGCAGTTTAAATGAATAACTGAGTTTTGAAAAAAAAAAAAAATGCTAGCTATTTGCAAATGCTATTCATGGTTTAGTTGATTACATAGTTTTACAACAAATGGCTTATAAAAAATAATCTTTGAAGTAGTGCTAATTGCACACATGCTTGAGCACGCCAGGGATGTGAATGTTAGAGAAGTAATTTTCCCATTCAATGTGCTTAGGATCAAAATCAAACAAGATGGTCTCCATGCTGTCCCTAGTTGTCATCCTTAACTTTTCCAACTTTGTATCATCAAAACTGCAATCAGAACAGGGTTAGATTACCATTTGTAATTTAATTCCTTGCATCTCAACCAGTAATGAATAATTGAATTGCTAAATAAAATCATAAAGTAGATTACTTTCTCTCTTTTCATGTAACTTGACATGTATATTATCCTTAAAATAGTGCCAAGTTTTATGCTATTTGAGATTTGTATGCAGCATTATCTAATTTTCTACGAACTCACAGAGGAAAGTCTTCTAAGGGCTTTTTTGGTAGCTTAAAGTCAGATATATTTTTTTGACTAATGATGAAGGGTGTATTTGAGATAGTTTTTTCATGATTTTATTTTATAGATAAATGACACTTTTGTTTGTTATAATTTTATGGCTTATTTTAAAATTTTATGATGAGAAGTAGCTTTTCATAATCAGATCTGATATATTAGATTGTGATTGCTGTAAGAAACTTATTTTCCAACTTTTTTTTTAAATTAAAATACTCTATGTCCGACAATAGTTTTAAAAATTTTATTTTTTTCACTGAAACTCTACAATTAAGTGCAGTTATTTCCCAAAATGATCAGAAGTTTATTTAGACTTATTTATTAGAAGAAATCAGACATCAATATTAATTTCAAACTCTAAAAACTTTTTCAAAATTCTAAAAAAAAAAAAGATTATTTTAATTTTAAACTTAAAAAAAAGTGAAAATCAAATCAAACCATTATTTAAAAAAAAAACATATTTTACATATTTTACTAATCAAATGAGCTGTAAAGTAAGATTTACTAAAAAAATCTTTTGTGTTAACTTTACCATCCTTTAAAAAAGGCATAGGGAGCATAAAGCTCAGCAAGGCGCATCACAAATTTGTACTTCCTCCAGAGTTGGTTAAATCGTTGATTGAACAAACAGCAGCAGGCTAGATTCAGCAAGCGAAATCCCTGAAAAGCAAAGTAATAAAGACTAAGATGAGTTCTATGATTTGTTTTTATTTTTGAAATTTCTTTAACAGTTTTATGCATTTCTGTTAAAAAAATACAAAAGAAGATGTGAACAAATTGCATACCTCTAATGGCAGGCGGTATCGAAGAAACATGTATCTCTTAAAATCTGACATGGTTTTCATAACATGAATCGTTGTTGTCTTGATTGTCTTTCCGTCACTTGTAGTTCGAGGATTTTTCTTGAAGTATTGATATCCAGATTGAAGAAGTGTAGAGTATTTTACAGGATTTCTTACAGATGAACTCACTTGATATATAAATTGAGAATGTTGATTAGAATGAGCAGCAATTGAAGCTATCATAGCATTCACCACCATGTCTCCAGGTATCTGATTCAGATTTTTCAGTACTTTTTAGTTTTCCTGTCTTGCTGATATATTATAAGTAATACTATTGCAGCTATCATATCCTTATTATTATTATTATTTAGTATGGGAAATATAGAGAGTACTTACTAAATCCATTGACATCTGAGGATCTCCAAGGAAAGATGAAATATTTCCCTTTGCATAACCAACTATTATGCTGTCAATTGTCCTGAAACATCAACAAAATGTTGGCTTAGCTCTTGATAAAGTACATGATGCATGTTAATATTTCTTGAAATCAATAATATTTATACCTTGCTCCTTCAATCCAACCTGGTAGCGGGTCTTTATAAATACTTGTTATTATTGTTGGACGTATAATAACAAGAGGAAGGTCTCCTCTCATATGCCCAAGAAGCATTTCTCCCATTGCCTTTGTAAAAACATATGTGTTTGGCCAACCATGAATTCTAGCCCTTTAAGATAATAGAAACAAATCATATCAGATAAATAATGTCGCAATGCAGTAATAAAAATTATATTTTTTTTTCCTAAATAAATCTTATAGTCAAATTAGGACTATAATATGCAATGCATAAACTTTTGATACCTTTTGATACCCAATTCTTTCATAGCTTCTTTTTCTGCTTCTTTTGTCTTCTTCTCATCTTGAATTTGGTTCTTTGTTTCTTCTAGAAGCTTTAGCTCTTCTCCAATGTCTACTTTCAAATCTGGCTTCAATGCCTCACCAAAATTAAACGGCTTCTCTGTTATTATTCCTTCTTGCACACCGGCAACATAAGCTGAGACCACAAATGCAGTATTAGCGAAGAAGAACATGGTGAGTATTGTGAGTCTTTAAGGGTTCTAATTAATGGCAGAATCATGATTTCAAATTGGAGGGGATGAAAAACTTGATGGAAAATTTTAGGAGTGCAAAAGTTTTAATAATTTCTATGGTTTATTAAGGGTAAATATTCCGTATTATAGATAGCTATATAGGATTTATTTTAAATCTAGGAGATGTGCGTGACCCTCAATCCCTCTTTGATTCCACTTCTAACTCTAAATCTTTAACAAATTACCCTCCCTTTATTTATTATTGAGTTGGACTGGAAAATTTTTTGTTTTTGCATTTAACTTGCTACGTTATATGAGATAACTTCTATGTTTCAAATCTAGAAATATAGAACATTGGTTTTGTACTCACCAGTTGAAACATGTAAAAGCATCTTGATTTTAGTGCACTGCTTTGCAAAGTCCAACACATTTTTGGCTCCCATTACATTGATACCCAAAGCCACATCATATCTAGAAATTACAGCATGAAAAATATTGATAATTAATATATATTCAAGAAATATTTCTCACCATGTTTATTTGGGTATTTCCAACAAATCCAAATTTACTTTTACCTCTCATAAAAGTTTGTGGTTGCAGCCACATTAACAACAATATCAATCTCCTTCCACAAATATTCTCTGATACTATAATCTTTAATTCCAAGATTCTCTTCAGCAATATCTCCAGCAATAGGAGAAATCTTGTTGGATATAAATGAATCAAATTCCTTTCCATGTTTCTCTCTAAGAACTTGAAAGAGATCCTTGTTAATCACCTAATGGCAGGACAATAATTATTCAGTAAAATTCTTGTTATTTATAATGCTTCAGAAGATGAAGAACAACAACAACAACAACATCAAGCCTTTATCCCACTACGTGGGGTCGGCTAACTTCAGAAGATGAAGAAAAAAAAAAAAAAAAAAAAAAGAAAAGGAATGAAAGACATGATGAGCATTCTGACTTGGCAAAATTCTTCTTATTGTGCTTGAGATGAACTAACTTGAGCTCAAATTTGATTAATTAAATTAGCTAGAGTTTCAGATCCATTATAAGAGTTTGAATTGTCTCACGAATTGGTTGTTCTTCTTATGAAAGAGAGGATGAATTTGAATCTGACTTGCGAAAAAATATATATATTTATTAAGGCATATGAGGATATTAAGTTTAGCCTTATATCACATAGTTAAAATCATGTTAATGTATAAGTACTTGGTGGTTGAGTGTCGTTTAACATAGGTTTTATCTTTCGAGTAGAAATAAGTTTGGTCAATAGTGTATGAGGCCATATTTGGTCATCATTTTGCTCATGCTCTCTAACAAGTGGTACCATAGTTAAATCATCAAGTCTTTAATGTTCTTTATAACTTTTGTGGTTTTGGAGGGTTTGTAGCATGATCGAGTAAATTTCAAATGTGGGCAAGTCTCTGATAAGCTCCATGTTGTTGAGAGAGCTTTTTGTGTATGATATTTGATGATATTAAAATGCTTCTATTTGTGGGGGATATGGTCATTATGATCAGTTGCCGTGTAAGTGATTGTTAAGTTATGTAAGAGTGTTGATTTTAATCTTTCATGAAAGAAATGGAGAGATATGTGAGTGTAGACATCTCTGTAATGAATTTTATTTGAATTTAATTTATCTCCATATGAAACAAGCCACATATGGAACAAGCTAACTCAGGAAACTATCAAACATAATTAATACATTTTTAAAATGGAATTTTATAATGAGAAATAAAAAAAAAATAAAAAATAAAAAAAGATTGTTTGTACCTCATTTTGAAATCTCTGTTCAGCTGAACTGGCATCGCGAGCTCTCACAATGAGAAAGAGCTTCTTCACAGATGGCTGGACTCTCAACACCTTCTCAACAAAAACTTAAAAATCCACAAGAAAAATAATTAATAAATAATCTTAGCACTAAATCAACAAAGAAATGACGGAATGACATTTCTAATTTAAACTACTTACTCTTTGCTAGAAAGCCAGTTGAACCAGAGATCAGAATACTCTTATCCTTTAAGAATTCCACTATATTTCCAATTTCCATGGCAATAAGCTGAAGAAAGAAGGAAAAAAAGAAAACTAAAGAGAAAGAGAAGGAAAGGTACTTGTTCAGGAGCTGTTTGCTTGCCTATGTATATATATAATGAAGAGTTTAGGATCCTTCCTTCAACTTGGCAATTTCAAAGGGCAATTATATGGCTGTATTTGGTTGGTTTGAATAACATGGAGGTTGGTGATCAGCTTTGTATGTTTCTATTGGTACGCTAAAGATATGAATTCAAATATTTATATGGTTTTGTGAATCTCAAAGTGTTTAGGTGGAAATCTATCATGCATTGTACAAGTGTTTTTTAGAGAGTAGAATATCAATGAATTCAGATAAATTATTAGGAGAATTTCATGGCAAGTTTCCATATTATGAAATGATGACATAGTTGGGAAATCTGAATATAATAATTGATATCAAGATAGATAGATGGGAATTGCAACCTAAGCAGGTGGCAATTTGGTTGGTCGCCTGCAAGGAGTTTTTTTTTTACTTTGGTGAAGTCAATTCCCTGATTCTTTTAATATTTTTTTTTTACTTATCCGGGATTTCACCATATATGTTATGTTGAAGAGAAGTATTTGACTGGGTTAAGAAATTTTTTTTTTCTTTTTTTAAATAAAAACAAGAAACAAAAGCTAGTAAATTATTAAACTAAACCCTAAACTTAAAATAATTCACATTTATTTATTTCACAGAGAAAAATTAAGGAATAGAAGGTTGGAGTATAGGCTCTCCTTTTAATCCTCTAAATGAAATGAATCTCTCTCAAGTCTTTGTATGAGTTCATAGCTCAAATTCATAACATTTAAAATGATTTGATCACTCTATAAAATTACTGATTCGTACTGATCATTTCTAGTGAAATTACGAGAATGAATGTGAAATTGTTTTTGTTTGGATTTGGCGGGCCCAAATTGTATTGATTTGGATGAGGATCTACAAGTACTCCTCTAACCACGAACCAACTCTCACCTAATTTTTATCCAAAACATGCCTTATAAATCGTTTAACCTGAAAGTCATCATCTCTATCTAGCTATATTTCTTCATCTTGCTCGAATATAGACCTCGCCCAATGAACTTCGAACTTGCATGGTCCCACTCTGCAAATCTGGTAAATTTTGACTACGAACAAGGTCTGCCTACCTTGCCTCTTCTTTAATCAGGTGAAATTAAACTGGCTTAGGCATCGTTTAGAATAAATTTCATATTATTTTTATTATTATTTGGGAAGATATTTGGAAATCCAGTGTATTACTTGTTAATAAACCCTAATTTAAAATGTCTGTTTAATCCTTCTTCTTTGGATCTCTGTCTAAAACAAAAACACGCAAACCATGCAAAGGCGTAATTTGTTGACTTTTTACGAACAGTTCTGTCAACATTTCGGCTCAAAAATCGTTTCGGTACCAAATAATTTATCTAAGACTTGTTAGGCTTTATTGAAGAGTATAAGCAAACATTATATGACTCGAATAAAGCAGTGGGCCCCCTCCCTCATCTCATTTCATCTATGTTTATGCAAATTTTGCTTAAATAATTTGTAGTGTTAGGTTTTAGTGAACTAACGCTCTTCATGATAAGTGTCATAAATTTTTTTTTTTTTTTAAATAAAAAGTTCATTTGTCATATTTTTTTTTTTAATTTGTTTAGATAGTTCAGTAAATTTGATTTTTTTTTTTAATTTTGACATATTATTTGATTATTGAAGCATTCATTCTGTCTGTTTTTTTTTTTCATTTTTTTATTTTTGATGAATAAGTTATTCCTCAAGAGACTATAAAATACTTATTTAATGATGATTTAATTATTTATTGGAATACTTGTTTTATGCTATGGTTTCACGTTTTTAAATTCTATTCTCTTTAATAATTATTTACATTATTGATAATATATGTATGGAAGGAACTTAAGTAGTCAGCTAGATGAATAGATAAAGAATTCTTACTTTATTTTTTATCAGCATTTGCTAAATAAAATGCTGATAAATTAAATGATGGATGAATGGATATGGATGGATAATAAGATCAAATTTTATTATTTATTAAATATTAAAAAAATGAGCAATGGATACACATATAAGGTTGCAAACAAATCAAGCGTACTTTCTAATTGTTGGCTTGATTATAACTCGTTTGTGATCATTTGATAAGTAATTAAATAAGTTTGAACTTTTTTTAAATACTCGATGATTAAACAAAAAAGTTTGAATAGATATATATACATGATCATCGTTTAAATCTTGTGAACAAGCTTGATATGAAGATTGATTCATGTTTGATATAAAGATCTTGAATAACTAAATAAAAGTTTGATTAAGTCTTGTTATAAAAATGATGAACAATCTAATATAAATATTTTATATTTATTCAAATTTGATAATATAATTATTAAGTAATAAATTTTAAAAATAAAATACAATAGTATCTACTAATTAAAATAAAACATAAATATATATTAAATTAATATTATTTATAATTTAATTGCAACTATTAATATTTTATGATATTATTAAAGTAACTGATAAAAGATGTGTTTGAAACCATACTTAGTTGCCAATTACTAAACTCAGAACAAAACTCTCGGTTCAGTCTTTCTCCCTTTGTCGATCGTGCAAATCCCAAACCCTTTTGATCACATCTTTCTTCCCTAAGACGCTCCTTAAAGTGTTGACCCCTCATCTCTCACCCCTACCCCACTCCTTAAAACCCTCATTCGTAATCCCGGGTAAATAGGAGACAAATTTTTTTCCCTGAGAAAAGTCGTTGATGGTACTTGATACATCGCAAAAAATCATCTTGATTAAACACGAATCTCGATGTAAATATGAGATTGATATTTGAAAACATGAAATTTGGACCATATGATCTACAATTTTAGTAAGTTTATACTCAAGTTGAACATCTCAAGGAGACAAATCTAACGACATCAAATTTGATCCAATTCGAGCCCAAATGAGCTCAAATCAGGGGTACAAAGCTTGCTTTGAGGCTTTAAAGCATTAATTGGAAGATCATACGACATTTGAAAATGACATTTATAGTTGAATCGAGCGGCTCGACGAGACGAGTCCAACGAGCCCAAGACCACTAAATTCTGACATCATTAAGGAACTTAAATGCTCGACAAACTATCCATGATCAAGATAATCAAGATGAACCATCTAAAGAACACTCCCAACATGCCCTTGATCCTCCTCATATTTACAAGCCATGCCACCCTCAAAAAATAATAAATAAGCCCCAATTCTTCTCATGAGGGGGAGAGAAAAAGGAGGGAGAGAAGAGAATAATTTGGGAGCTTACTTTTTGCCCATTACCGTCAAAGATCGTCAGATTTCTTCCCAACCATCGTCGGACATCTGCTCATTCGTCAACCACCACTAGACTTTCATCCGTTCATCGACCACCGCTGGAGTTCTTCCCATCCATCATCGAACTTCCACCTGTTTGTTGACCATCACCGAAGTTCTTCCGCCTGTTCATCAACCATCGTTGGATCTCTTCTTGGCCACCGATCGTCGTCCAACTTTAGTCTTTATCATCTGCCAACTACAGTCCTTCCAACCATTGTGGCCTGAATATGATTCTTCCAACCACCATTTCCTCATTATAATATTTTTTACCTTTATTGTACATGAATTATGCTCCTTCTGACCACCGTCGCCCAACTACTATCCTTCCAACCATCGTCACCAGAATATGGTCTTTCTGACCTCTATCATACGCTAACAACAGTCCTTCCAACCACCTTCTCCTGACTACTATCTTTCTGTCCTCCATCATCTGTCAACTACAGTCCTCTCGACCTCTATCACCTACTAATTACGACCCTTTTAACCACTATCGCACTCTGACCATGGTCTTTCAAACCATCATCGCTAGACTACTTTTCTTTTGACCCCTACCACTTGATTATGATCTTTTTGACCTCTGTCTCCCAACTATGGTCCTTCCAACCATCGTCATTTGACTACGATCCTTTCGACCTACATCGTTCGCCGACTATGGTCCTACTGAACAAACAAACATATATATACTAATTCTTCCAACTTACACCATATGATGCAATCTATATGATGTATATTTGCTACATTGAATAAAAACCTTTCTCATAAGGAAGGGCCTCAATTGTAATCAATTGCAAAGACTTGTGGTTTCATTCAAATTAGGTCGGGCCTCATGAGTTTTCCTCCTTTTTCGGGGATTCTACATAAAAACTCTAATGCCTCTTGTGATTGATGTACCCATCTCTTCTACATGTTTGTGTGTTAGATTTTCGTATAAAGCAGGGACACTAAACTTTATATCTCTCTACTATCGAAAATATTCTAGGATGCAACAGTTTGGAGCCGTCTATGGGAAATGATTCTTAGGTGTTATGCAATTTTCTATCTCCCTTAAGCATCAATTAATTTAGCATCATTTCTGTGGAAGGAGATTTAGACTGGGGGCAAACATTGGATGTAACTTCTAAAGTGATTGTTGCCAACAAAAAATCCTCCAATATTTTCAACGTCATAGAGAATGTTATTGGCAAACTAGTTTTTATAAAGATCTCCATAAATATTCTAGTTCTTCAAATAAATTATAAGTTTTATACAGTCCCTAGCTAGACTTCTACTCCTTTGGCCAGGGTCTTAACCTCAATCTCAAAAAGGCAGTAACATGTTGGAACTCAAGCTTACAAGTTTATATTTTTGATGATAACAAGTATTGTGGCTTACAACTTTATGTCTCCTAGTATTTGCAATGTATATTTATTTATGTGTACTAGCATTTCATGAACATTTTGCACCATCCAACAAAGACACAGGACTCAAGATTGGGTAGAATAAGTTATGATGTAAAAAGTTTGTAATATTCATTAATATGTTTTTTTTTTTTCATTTCTTGAGTCAAAGTCTTGTAAAAGTTTATGTTTGGTGAGTTACCTTGCATACACACAAGGAAAAAGAGAAACATATTTTGAGAGAGTTCTTTTAAGTAAATAGTGCTATACTATTTTGGCTTTGTACTGTACAACTTTTTCATACTATGCAACTTTAATTCATAATGTTTGATCTGTTATGCTATGTCAAAATCCTAGCTACCAAAGGTTTAAAAAGATACTATTTATGTACTGATCATACGATATGATTTTGTTCGTACTGTACACCCTAATAAATATCTTTCTTATTTAAACCTTGATATCAGGCAATTAAATCATGGATAATTATTATAATCAATCGTATTATACAATACAGTTCATATAATATGATTGATAT